CATGTCGTTTAATACATTGTCACTTTGGAAACAACACGAAAATAGAATTGTTTGAAACGCCAAAAAAGTGCTCCGATTTTAATGAAACCGGCATCAATCGACGGAGAAAAATTCGCTGATTCCGAATATATATATAACTCAATATCGCCCAAAATGTCGCTTAAACCAAATAGCCCGTTACCCCTCGATATGATTTGAATTTTAATTGTATGTGGTTGGAGATAACTTTAGCTGGATACGTTTGGGTGTCTTCTATATAGAAGGATTATAATATTTTAATCACACTAACATTATAAATGTAAGTGTCTTTGTTCGGATGTTTCTCCATCAATCATGCTGAAACTACTGAACGGATTTTGATACAATTTGGCATACAGGCAGTGTATTTATTTTATTTTATTTTATTTATTCTTTTATGTACAAAGTTTTATTATGGCACATAAGGCGAACTAAATTCCATAGGCATTCTCTACCAGTCAACCTTAGGGTTTAAGTAGAAAATCAGCGAATAATAAGGTACGGAGAATAAACTAACAGCAAACACAGAGAGAAAAAAGGTAAATATTAAATAATAGAGCTATACATATATATTACATCATAGTAAATAGTATATATAGTCATATGTATATGGGCTGACTTAGGTTATATAATAAGATACTGTTTATCCCGATTAAATGCTTCCATGGAATAAAATAGGAATACGCGGGCAAAGCGGCGGGTAAAAGTTTCTTAAATAATATATAACTTGTATTCATAGTAGGTATACCAAACGTTTCAGTGATAACTTAAAACAGCAGGCGTTGCAATCTTTTTACATTAAAACCATTAAAATTCGACTGAAAATTCGAATATGAAATGAGACATAGCCAACAATTTAAAAGTCCTTGATCCCTCCTATCTTAGACAGGATTAATTGTTATAATTAAATACGAAGCATCAGATGTTAAGATCTCAGTTATTGTTTGCCAAGAAATAAGATCTTATAATTACGTTTAAATAATTTAAATCTGATGATTTATTTGACGACCTTGAGTCTAAAGGTGACACCGAATTAACGTCGACTATTAATGTTAAGGACTATTTTAGTTGTTACAGTTTGGTTTTATTTACATTAAATGTTAATATTATTTGTATGTTAGAATACTTATTATACTATGTATTTTAATAATAAAAGTAATTTGAGATGAAAGTATTTGGTTGACATAAAAAAGCCTTAACAATAATTTTAAGACCCGCACCTATAGCTACTAAATTTACTACACACTGAAGATGTTCAACATTTATTTAGCTATAACTAGATGTCGCTGCTGTCTTAATTGAGTCCTTGAATTAACGATGACATCAACATCAGTTTTTATTGTTTTAGTTTGCACAGCCATAGCCGGGTAGGCTCTAAAATTACGTCTCACAATCATCATCCGTGATAGTCCATTGCTGATTTCAGGCTCCATAAGAACGTATTCCAAAATCTCCGCATTTGACAGGAGAGTTGGGGACCGTAATTTTAAAAGATTCAAGTTGTTTTAAGACTTCAAGACCGTAATTTAGAACTGTGCTGCCCAGTCCCTGTTAAATGTGTAGACTTCTTGGCCTACACATTAATATAATAGGTACTCAGTCTATCAGGTTTCCTAAAATATAGGACATACAGCCCACCATTCTCAAATAACTTGATCACAGAAAGAAATCTATTTATTTTAATCGCATAACCTCTCGATTGACTGGTTTACAGTAATTGGATTTACGAATCAAGGCCCCCAGGCCCCCAGGCCCCCAGGCCCCCAGGCTTGATGGGAACCAGATTCATTTTAATCATTTTTTTCTAATCCGATCCGTATTTGTTGATTGGTATTTTTCGGGTCAGATGTTCGTTGCTTTGTTTTTACTTTATTGTTGACATTTCCATTATTGTCAGTCGGGGATATTTGATTTTGTTTTGATTGGGTCTGTATTGAAAATTGATTTTTTAATTCGTCTTTTTATATTGTGTGTGGTTTAGAAGTGATGGTTATGGGAGATGGTTTGATTGCAGGTAAGAGAGAAGGTAATAGGTAGAGGTAAATCATCATACAATTAATGGTCACCATCTTTTTCTGAATTAATGACAGGCGTATGTTTGGAAGCAAATAGCTTCACTTTTATTTTTTTTGTTAACGTTCTAACGTGCCTTTCTGGTCTAATTGAAATAAATGATTTTGACTTTGACTTTGAAGGCCTCCTTTTTTTGGGAAGAAAGATGCGAGATTTTTACTTAGGCACCTAAGTAAAAATCTCAGGCTAGGCTATTCTGAATATATCAATTGGAACTCTCGAAATGAACTCGATGGTTCGCTATGTCATTTATTGTGACAATAATCTCGACCAATGACGGACGAGAATGTGATCAAGCTAACTTCGAGAGCTCGTATTGACATCTTACAGAATAATTGTGCTACTCCTATAAGATGAAGGTCAGTCTTCATTTGTTACTTCATTATAATTTATCACAGTTTAATGAAACTACATTTAATTTATCATATTTTTATTTGGTGATACATAGTATGTACTTAAGATATTGTCATTTTTATTATTGTCATATTGTATTGTACGTACTAAATAATATCATAATTACTTAATAGTTGTTGAGTATTTATTAGAATTCATAAAATTATTTCTCGTAATCTGTAGATAGGTTCTAAATAATACGAATATTTTTTTATTAAATGCTCTTTTAAAACTACAATTAGTAAGTTTACACTACATATAAATACGTTGATCTTAATTAATTTTATCACGTACAATAAAATTATAGTACTATTCATAAATCACAAATAATGATATTTTAGATGTAGAACATTATCATTGCCGTTGCATCTATGTAACAAACATTTTACTATAGGTACTTACGAGGCCCATCCGGGCGCGATAATTGTATTTTCCCAAACATAGC